TTCATTCACTCAAAACTTACTGAGTTCGGGTTTCATGACAGGCACCGTGCTGGAAGCTGGAAATACAAGAATGTATAAGACAAGGACCCAGCCTCGTAGAGCTCAGTCTAATGTGAGATATGAACAAATTATAGTACTTATGCATAATAATGAGTTAAATGTTATGCTAGAACTGTAAGCATACAAACTAACAGGAGCCCTGAGTGGAAGGTAATTAATCCAACATATACTTAACAAACATAGTATGTGCCAGGCAATTAGGCACATAATTAGGCACATTGGCACTAGCCAGTGCACAGACAAGGTCCCTGTTTCATGGAATTTAAAGCCTGGAACACTCTAAATCTGAAGTTGGGGGAGGGGCCTGGAAGAATAAGACACTATTGAAGGCAAATCCTGACTGACAAGTAAAGTCCATCCAGGTGAAGCGGGTGAGAGTATTTCAGGTAGTGGGAGCAGCATGCACATAGGCCCAACGAAAAGAGCAGGGTGAGCTGGGAGAAACCACAAATAGTTCATCAGGGCTCCACGGGAGGGCATGAGTGGTAAGAGAAAAAAGGGAGGTGTACTGGGGTCAGATCCCAAAGGCCCTGGTGCTTCACCATAGATTGTGGGCTTTATCTAGTGTCATTTATTTTGTGTCAAAAGTTGTCATTGAGAGTTTTTTAAAGCAAGAGTGAAGAGATCAAAGTTTCTACTGGGAAGATTATTCTGCCTTCTGTGGAGAAAACGGGTCGGGCAGGGGGATGGGGGGTGGTTAGTGGGTGAAATCACAGAGACCAGAAGGAAGGAAGCTGATGAATTAGTCTGAATAAGCAATAATGGGGTCCTAATAATGGCAGTGGAGATGAAGTCGAGAATGATTTTCGCCTGACGCAACGCTCTCTGCTCTGCGTGATAGAGTAGCGATGAGGTAGAATTAAGAAAATAATTTGCTACTGAGGTGATGTAGCCTAGAATCATGTCTGTAGAATTGTTGTTGTTTAATAATCAGAAATGGAAACTCTGGGCCGGCCCGGTGGCACACTGGATAGTGCGCCGCTTGGGAAGCGCGGCGGCGCTCCTGCCCGAGGGTTCGGATCCCACATACAGACCGGTTCCCGCTCACTGGCTGAGCGAGGCGCGGGAGCAGCAC